AATAGAGTTTTTCCTAGCACATGCAGTTTTTGTCTTCATTACTACTACCTCTGCTCCTAAAATACATGGTGTCAGCCTAATTCATACTCTGCCACTTCTTTACACAAAATGATAAAATGAAAATTCATCATAGACCCTGAAAATGAAATGTTCAGCATTCTTCATGCAGTGCTAATGATCTTCCATAATTTGTACTGTCCTTACAAGACTCTATTTTTGAAAGTCTTCATCCTAAACCTAGTATCTATCCATGAGCATTGAAGTAAATTATCTGTGAAACACAAAAATCACACTCAGGATGGCAAGATGCTCACTTGAAAATCTCAAGTACATTTTATTGGTCTCATGCTCATTTTGGGACACAGGTTCACTGAGTGGAATAGCAAAGAATTATGGATTTTTTTCTGCTGTTTTGATTTGTGGCTTTTGATTAAGCAGCTTTTATTTAATTCAATGTAGTTAATTGATCCCAGATGAGTAATATGTCTATCCAATGCCCTTAAATTTCTTTCATTACTCAACAAACAAGTTCACAGATACATATCCACATATCTAAAAATAATTGGTTTAGTGTATCTGTCCACTGGTTTTCAATTTATAACAAGTCTTCAAGAGAAGGTTTAAAGGGAAATTCACTCAGGAAAAAATTACAACCACCTTGTAATATACTAATAGTGTCATATTACTATAATATTTATCAAATGAAATTTAGTAGTGAAACATTTGCTAAAATTTTATTTTGTATAGTAAGAAAAGGTAAATGAATAAATTTGTCCCTTTAAATCTTTCAGATAATTTCACTTTAGTTAGGTCTAACAGTTGTTAGAGCTACTAAGAGAAACTTAACTAAATGTTGAGACACAAGAAAACTCACCTAACATAGAAAAAAATAAATAAATCCTTATGGCTTATTTTGGCTCTGTTATTATGGAAAACAAAAGATGCATTTCTGGGAGAATACAGAGTGCATTCAGCACAAAAATAATACAACAATAGGCTAATTTGACCATAAATCTCAGAAGGTCCAGCTTCTTGTGAGAAGCTCCTGGAAACAAATGGTCTCTCTATGACAAACTGTAGAGTATGAGTGAAGCCTCCCTTCCTTAATGAACACATCAGTGATCTCTGACATCAGTACAGTTGGATCCATTCTGAGGCAGAAATGAGAGCCAGGAGTGGCAGTATCTTCAGGAAGTGCCTCCCATCTCTAGCATAGTAAGCTTTCCACACAGTCACACTAATGATAAAAAAGAAGTGAAGGAAATAAAAAGTCAAGACACAAAATCTCCCCCACCTTGCTAATTAATGAGAGGCAAGGTATCAGATGGCAACTGTAGAGAATAGGAGCATTACTTTTTTAAAAAGTCCTTATGTAAGCATGATCCAACAAAATAATGTCAGAATCCTAAGTGGCAAATGCTCTGTGATAAATTCTTCCAAGGTAAATTATGTTCATGATAAAAGTCATCCATTGGGCCTGGAATACAGTTCAGTGGTAGAGCACTTGCCTAATGTGCACAAGGCCCTGGATTGAGTCCCCAGCACAACATACATGCACAAAAATCATCCACAAAAGCATTCTAAACATTCTTTCAATCCATTTGAATAATTATATCATAACTACCAACTGGCTGTAAAAGCACAATACTTGGCCAGTGTCAAATTTTTACTAAAAGAACAAAAAGTAAAATTTTAACTACTAAACATAAAATCATTATTAGTAACCTCAAAATATCCATACTTGATGCTGAAATTTAATGTCTGTGTTATTCATGTAAAATTCAGTAAGGCCCAAAACTTGTTTTTTTAAATAATGTATTTTCCATGTCTGTGTTCTTATGTATCATAGCATAAACAAAAACAAGAACTTTTTTTACGAAGTTCTCTAGCTTCCACCCAGTTATTTTTTACAGTAACAATATTATTGAACTGCTCCTACTCCCTGAAGGTTTCTAACCTCATCCTCTCCTGAGAAAGAAGGAAAATGCAGTGTCTCTGCCCTACTTACACCAGAGGTAAGAGAAAACTACCTGCCAGACACAGCAATAGCACTCTTGGGCTCTGGCTGGTGAAAGAGGCACCAGCTAGCTCTCTGGGACTCTCAGCAGGAACCCAGCCCTGCCCCTAGAGGAAAGTGGAAAGGAACAAACCTCAGGAATCATCCTGTGAAGGGAAACTAGAACATTTCCACAGTGTTAATGTCACAGAATGCCCTGGGGTAAAGGGTCATGCTACACTCAGCAGTGCAGGGTTGAGCGACAAGCACACAGTAAACTGCCAGATCATGCAAAGACTTACTGAAGGTGTCAAGGAAAAAATCCTCTGTATACCTTCACTTCCAATATCCATCCCCCTTCCATGGAAAAGTATTCCTACATGTCACTTCTGCAATTACTAAATGATTAATAAGCTTAAGTTTGGCATTTCAGAAATTATAATAAAGCATCCTGAGTATCTTCTAGAAAGGGCTGATGTGAGTGAGCATGATCACAAACATTTCCGGTATTGATTATAAACATATTGATTTACCTGCAGAAAAAAAAAAATTACTGCCAGAATTTTGTCTGTCACAGTCCTGCTTCTTTTACACTATGTTATGCTGACATGTTATAGGTTTGGGAAAATCTTGTATCAGTATTCACATTATACATAAACATTAATGACATAATAATAAGATGTAAATGTTTTCTGAATGTAAATAAATATATGATTACTTCTTTAGTTGGTTGTTTTACAAAAGCAGTGTACACTGTAATTGTGACTTTCAAATACTATTTTTCAGCTATCCACTAGTTTGAAAAATCTAAATAATAATGATTGTTTAATTTATGTCTGCCACTTTCTTTTTTTCCCATTCATACAAAAGAAAATTAAATATGTACATTGGAGTTTGTTTAGAGTATTAGCTCACTTTTAAGTGATCTCTCATTTCTTTGAAATGCATGATACAATTGAATCACTACCTGATTACAATTTCTTCCTTTGTTCAGTACCAATGCTTGTTTTTTAAAGAGCTATTTTGTCTCACAAGACTTCCTTGGGAAAATGTAGAAAGTCCATAAATTTCATGAATGTCATACATTCACAAGATTTAGACACACTGTTCTGATTCCTGAAAGGAGGTCCTTTATTTTTATCAAGTAAGTGAAAAAAAGTTTAATTATTTGATATTTGCTACCATTTTGAAAAAGCATCATCCTTTCACGTGGCTGAAGAAATAAAAGTACATAATCATTTAACTTTAGTGAAATGAAGTAAATGAAGTTCAGTACTTTATTTACATTATGATTGAATATTATATACTTCTGGAAATATCACACCCTCATTTTTGTTATTAAGACTAGAGAGTGTTTTCACGTAAATTTTTCCTTTAAAAAAGTGAAAAAATTAAATAAATACTGTAATATGAGTTACAACGTATTTCCATAGGGTACTGAAGAAGACATGGCATTTTACACTTGATTCCAAAACCTTTAACGTTCTAAAGAGTATAACAACGGAGTTTGTCTCAGAACAAAGCCATTTATAACTTCACTTCTGTTAAGTGTCTTCTTAGTGAAGGAAACATATTTGATTATTTAGCAGGCTCTTTTGGTATAAACAATCTATAAACTCCAAGATCTGGACAATAAATGTCATTAGACCTTCCTATGTGTTTTTGCAAAGAAGTATTTTAATACTAAACACTTCCTAAAATTCACTCGCTCTATGCATGAATCACAGAGGCTGCTCACTTCTGAGAAGATAAATATCTTAGGGAAGGAAAAGCCACTCGCCCAGAGTCTTTGTTTAGCAGGACTATGGATTTCCACTGCTAATAACATTCAGAACTCTGGACAGCTCCCTTTAAGGAGTGCAGTTTAAGCCAATTTCCTTAGTTTCTGAACACACAGCTCAAAGTGATGCTTTTTATTGCATGTTTGTTTGCTGCTTAGAAAGAGCCTATTAGTATTTTCAGCATGCACATATGCTTCAGTTGAATATTTTTTCATGGTTTTCGAACGAGTTCAGTTAAACAAATAAGTAAGTATCACCAGAGTTACTAGTTTTGGATACTTAAAGGGGAAGTTCAGCCCTGTTCAACAGCTAACAACGCGTCTGCATGATGTGGGTGTGCGTACGATAATAAGAGGATTATTTTGCGACCTTCATCTGACAATCTCTAAACGTGCTGATAACCGAATGAGTGTTGGGGCTACAAGTAAGATCAGGAAACATTTTAATTTTCTTTCCCCAAAGCAGAGTTCTCCTGCTGACAATTCTTCTGCTCTTCCTTCCGAGCTGGGAACCACGAAAGCGACTTTTTTTTTTTAATAGACTTGGACTCAAGGTCAAGTAAGGGTGTCGTTCTATTTCGGGAAGGGGTCTCTGGAAACGACTCTTCTCTGTTTCAGGACCTGGAGGCTTCCTGTCATGCTGTCTCCCAGCCTGGCCACTGAGCCTTAAGTCGGAGACTATCCAAGCGCAAATCACCCTTCCTGTGCTTGCCAGCACTACTGGGAAGAAATGCAGAAAAGGAAGGCTCCGAGTGCCTCTCAGCATAAGAACAACATATTAACAGTCCCCAAGGGCGAGCAGGGCTGCCACAGCTAGGACCTGTGAGTCACTGTCGCCTGCCATACACCCATCTTCACCTGAACCCCAGAAGAGTCTACCCTTTGGAGGGGAGCGACCTCAGGAAGAGTGTTTGCCCTTTTGCTTACACACCCATCTCCCAAGTAAAAGTTTCCCAGGCACAACTTAGCATCCTCCCAGTCTGGGGTTACCATGGCCTTCATCCTCCCAGATCTGTCCCCAAAGTTCCCCTGGGCTAGGGGAGAAACAGGAACTCGTCACTCACGTCCTTCCTCGGTGGGAACTAGTTGCAGAAGAGGGAGCCCGTTCCTCTGCCTGCACCCTCCCTCCCTCGGGGTCCCCAGGACGCCCCCTCCCAGGACCGGGAAGGTGCTGGATGTTGGGCGCTCCTGCGGAGGAGCCGGGGCGGCGACGGGAGTCCTCACCTGAAGTCACTGTAAGGGTGGATGATCCAGAAGCCTGCAGTTTTAACCCTTTCCTGCTCCTTCTCCACCGCCTTCTGGCTCCCGAACATGCGGAGGGAGAATTTGTTGACCCCCGGCTGCAGCATGGAGGTGAACTGGCGCTGCATAAAGCCGTACTGCCGCCGGGGCTCGGCATCCTCGAAGCTCCCCGCGGGCTCCTCGCCGCCGCCGTCCACCTTGAAGCACACGGAGTTGCCGTGCTCCTTGACGCCCACCCCACCGCCCCCCGGCGGGGTCCCCAGGCGCTTGTCGGCCGCTGGCCCCGCGCCCGTCGCGGGCGCCTTGGCGGGGAAGACGCTGTTGCCATCGTCCCGACTGTTGGACGAGGAGTTGGGCTTGCCGCCTCCTTCCATGCCCGGAGGACGCGGCCGGCGACCGCACGGGTTCCAGACTCGCGCGGGGGCGCGACGCCGAGGGGGCCGGGGCCCGAGCCGGCTGCCCGCGAGCCCGGCTGCCCGTCGTGGCGGCGGCGGCGGCGGCGGCTGCTTCCCGCCCGCGCCGCTGCTCGCTGCGCGCCTCGCTCCCGCCGCCGCCGCTGCCCTCAGTGGCTGCGCTCCCGGCTCCGCGGCGCCTGGAGCTCCTGTTGAGGCTGCCTGCCGGAGCCAGCGAGCGAGCGAGCGAGCGAACGAGCGAGCGGGGCGAGGCTCGCTCAGCTCGCTCAGCTCAGCGCATCGCAGCGCCCGCGCGCCAGCGCCTCCCCTCGGCCGCCCTCTGCTGGCCGGAAAGCGCCTCTCCCCACCCGCCCGCACGGCGCGCTCGCTCGCTCGCTCACTGACTAGGGCGGTCTCCACCTCTGCCCAGCGTGTGACATTGAACTAGGAGCCCTTGAGACATGAATCTGTACGTGTTGGACAGACTCGCTTACTCTGGGTGTGTGTGTTTGCGCCAAAGGTGGGAGGGAGTGGACGAGAGAGAGAGAATATGAATGAGCTGAAGGTAGGGAGTTGTGCTCGTTCAAAAGAAACAGACACCCTAAAACTCATGGAGACATCTTCTGAACGCCTGTTTGAATGACGTTACAGATGGGGAAAGAGAATCAGGTTAACTCTGCTGGAAATCCACTTGTAAAACTAGAAGAACATAAGAAAGCGACGTTTGACAATGGAAAATAAATTTCCTGAACACAAGAGGGGTGTGTGTGTGTGTGTGTGTGTGTGTGTGTGTGTGAGAGAGAGAGAGAGAGAGAGAGAGAGAGAGAGAGAGAGAGAGAGAGAGAGAAAGCACGCACGTGAGTCTGTTGAAAAGAAAGCAGACATGAGAGCGACTAGATCTTTGTAACCTGAGTAATCAGCTGCTTGAAGCTTTGCTGATTAAGGCTCTATACCTAGGGGCAGTCAAATGACCTCCTTCCACTTATCCTTATTATTCTCCTGCAGCTCCTTAAGCAGGGGGTGGGATTTCTGTCTTCCCAAAGCCACTCACATCACCACATATGCGAGCGGTTCTATCAGCCACCAACTCTGCGAGAAAAATGTGTAAGGGAGACCTCACCTGAACTGACCTATCTTTTTAGATGAGTTATGTAATCATTAAAAAATCCTAAAAGGCATGTGTCCTCCTCAATGTTCACCTGGACCATGCTAGGAAGTGGAAATGCCTTGGAATCTAGTCAGAATGTAATCATTTCAGAGAGAAATAATCTCAAGTGAAACGCACAACATGCTACTGCTGCTGAGGAAAGCATTCTCAGATTCTGCTTATTCCCTCTGTGTCTCCCAAATCTACTAGGTGAGCTGAAAGAACCAAAATGTGCTGGCAAAGCCACCAGTCACTCAGCAGGGCAGCGCAGAAGTCAGAAGAGCTCCAGGACTCATGAATGTCCCAAAACATCTGTTCCAGATACAAGCATTGCCTCCCTGCCCACAGCCTCTTCAAAGGAAATCTTGGCCTGCCAAGTGCTGGATCCTCTGGTTTCCTGTCAGTTACAGTAGGTATTTCAGACAGGAGGTAAGCACTTCAAAGAGGGAATTTTCCTCAAGCTGGCAACCAGTAGCCCAAGACGAAAAAAAAAAAAAATGAGTGACGCCAATCAAGATGTTTTTCTGAAAAAAACCGAATGTTGATGAAGCCAATTAATAATGAGAGAGGTTAACAAAAGACAATTGGATGTCTTAGTGAGAAAGAAAATTGGACGTCTTAGTGAGGAGTTAGAAGAGGCTGAGAAAGGAAGCAGAAAAGAGCAGAGATCAGCAAAAACAAGAAATGATTAGGCCAACTCTGTTATAGTTCTGTAAGATTTTCTTTACTGGTCTCTTTACCATAACTCATGCTAAATCTCCTTTTGCATGGAGCTAAGTCCTAAGTCAGACACCACTTGTTTTCAACTGATCAAAATCCAGTACCCCAAGAAATAAGTAAAGATGGTCAAAATTTAATGATAAGAAGGGAAAATATGAACAATATAGAGCTCTGATCTATCAAAGTAGGAATCTTGGAAATCCAAGAGTTCAGATGAGGATACTAGGTGCCAAGGGCAGAAGGAAGCCACAGAGATGGATAAAAACAAAGATTGCCTGAAGCATATCTCTGCATAAGAAAGACCAGAGATCTTGGGTTGCTTTTCTGCAGTAGACTAAAGACATTTCTCCACTTTCTCCCATCCTGTATGCTTCCCCAATCCCTCTATTTTCAGTCATGAGTGTGAAAATGTATATTTTAACATAAATTTTATAATAATGTAAAAATATGCAATCTAAAACGTTATGCTAAGTTTAAGTAAGTTTCTCTTTCTTTTAGCCAAGTCCTCTTTTTGTTCTACTTCAACTTATTCGTAATCATGACCAGGAAGTTATTTTAGTTAAAGTTTCTCTGAGTTTCAGTGTCTGTACTAGATATTACAGAATTACTGAAAAACAAGATCTCAAAATAGAATTAAGAAATGTCTAAAAAGGATCACAAGTCATTGGATGTTCTAAGTATAGCTTTCAGGCCATATTTTATTCATTATAATTCTCAAAGTGTATATTTTTTTTAAGTTTGAGAGTGTGTGTATTGTATCAGTGCATTAACTTACAGTTGTCAGCAATACAAAAAGTCCAGCTTCTTCACTTTACTCTCAGAGTGCTGATTTAGAGTTTTTAGACAGTGGACTCACATGAAAAGCTACCTTAAGAAGAAGAGAACTTGCAGACGACTGGGGTGGAATAAAAGCAATAAAAAATGAAAACAATGAGGGAAGAGAAACAGAGTGATTGAGAGGAAAAGGGGTGGATTCTGAATCATTAGCACCATCTCCTCACGTGTCTCTTCTTCAGTCTTAGGTTGAAATCCACTGAACTAAGTCATCTTAGAAATAGGACTACTGTCATGTGTGACTGTGTCACTAGATGTTTGTATCAAAGTGCTTTGTACTTCAGAAGAATCTGGTGTCTGGCGACTCATAAGAGAATATCAATTACGAATTTGTTTCATGAGAACTTCTCACCAGTAGTTGCAACGACTTCTATTTAGCATATACAAAAATTGCACATCTTTTAAAATATTCCTTGTCTCCTTTAATACTCTGCTTAAGATCAAACTGCAGACAGCAGCAGATTAATATGAATCTAAAATAAAATCTCCATGCAGCAGATGCAAGCACATGTGAAATGAGACAAAAAAGATAGATGGGTGATTTGAAATTTGACAGCTTATTGGAAAAACTCTCAGTGGAACTTAAAGGTTTAAGACATAAAACCTTTTAGCCTTACTAGTGGCACAGAGTAATATGTTAAAACACATATTTCACATGTAAAGAAATAAAGGCAGATGATCTGTCTCTGTGAAAGAAGACAATGGTAAGAAACAGCAAAAAAATAAAAAATAAAACAGCAACTTCACAGACTCTCTGTAGCTTAAGCACAGGAATATCTGATTATCTATCAGGAAGGCAACTGCCAATATCATGCTTAATGTGAAACACTAGAGCTATAAAGTCAGAACAAGACACTCACCCAGAATTTCTGTGATACATGTTATTTTCAGTTGATAATATCATCTCCCTGAAAAACCAAAAGAATCAACTGGATAACCATCATAACAAATAATAGAATTTAGAAAGTTGGCATAAAGTACACATGAAAAAAATTAATGTTTTTTGTAAGCATCAATAGCAACCATTAACAATGATTCTTTTAACAATTGGAACTAAAGGTGAAAGTGACATAGTAATAAGTGTATGAAATCCACAGTTTGAAACACACCAATATTTATAAAAACACATTTAAATAAATTAGGATATCCTTCTTGTCCATCATGTAAAGTCTCAATATTATAAAGATGATGATTCTTTCTAAATTTCATCTTAAATTTTAAGAAAATTGTATGATTTGTGTCATTTTTCTCTCTTAGGGAGGCCAACATGACAAAACGCTTTTTAGGTTTATTCAGGCTAGGTGTGGTGATGCATGGATGCCTGGTATCTCAGGTACTTTGGAGGCAGGGGAAGGAGGATCATTGTCTGAGGCCATCCAGGCAAAAACACAAGACCCTGTCTGAAAAAAACAAGCAAAAAGGGCTGGGCACGTCTCAAGTGGGCACAAAGTCCTGAGTTCAAACCACAGTACCTCCAAAACACAAAAAGGTTTCATCTGGATTAATAATTTTTAAGGGAGAGAGAGGGAGGGGGCAGGGGGAGAAATGGCCCAAACAGTGTATGCACATATGAATAAATGAATACAAAATTTTTTAAACAAATAATTTTTTAAATAATGAGATACTACTTAAGTATGAACATAATGTAGAGCTTTTCCAGGTATTAGAGCTGCTTAGGGTAGTACTAAGCACAGAATAAGACAGATAAGTGAATGACATAGAGTGAACAGAAAACATTTGGTTGCAGCTCAAAGGTGTCATTTCAAGTCAATCAGTGAGTTCAGGTTATGTTATGCAGCAAATGGTGCTGGAATGGTCAAGTGACAATTTGCAAAAGAATGTAGGATGTAATGTCATGTTTTTTTCCAAAGGTAATTTAAAATGATTTAGTATTGTGATATAAATACTAGAACCATAGTAGATAAAAATACACACCTGTTTATAAAAGAAATCACTGGGAAATACTTTCAAATTGTGATAGCAAAAGAAACCATAAAGGAAAATGTTGATGAAATTGAAAGCATAGAAACATGAAACTTGTGCTCAAACATACTTTGTGTTTGGTTTTGTTCTTTTTTTCTTTTATTGTTGTGCTAGGTAGGGGTACATTGTATCATTTACAAAGGTTCTTACAATGTATCAAATATATCATAATTGAATTCACCTCCTCCACTGTTCTTCTTTATCCCCTCTCATCCATTCCTGGAATAGTTTCGACAGATAACATTTTTGCATTTACTTACATGTGCACACATTTTTTCCACCCTCCTTTACCCACTCC